GAGCTCAAACTAAAGTCAGAGATTTTTGACGTTTTCAGTGGAAGATAGTCATTTTCTATCTTTGATTTTTTTTTCGATTTTTGGCGTAACTAAGAAAACCGAAAATTTAGGTCATGACCTNGGAAAAAATTAGGTCATGATCTGGGAAAAATTAGGTCATGACCTGGGAAAAATTAGGGTATGACCTGGGAAAAATTAGGTCATGACCTACAAAAGATCAGGTCGTGACCTAGAAACCCAAAAAATTAGGTCACGACCTAGAAAAATCAAAAAGTTAAGTCATGACCTAGAAATCCAAACTTGACCCAAACTGCTTTTAAAATTTCAATTTAATAAAATGAAAATTTCCCAAAAATGAATCAAAATTTGACGTTTAAAATAGGAAATAGTCAACTTTGAAGTCCTTAAAAAGTAGATCAGAATTTTTCTATTCGCCTGAAAATTTTAGAGTCTACTAAAGAAAAGAAGTACTTCATTTTTATAGTTGAAAACTTTTTTGTGAAAATCCTAAGCGAGAAAAATGGGTTTCAAGGGGTACAACGGGACTTTTGGCATCTCCTTGATTCCAAACTGCATATCTTATCAGAATGCATTTTTACAAAAAAGTTGTCAATTACAAAAATGAAGCTCTAATTTTGTTTGGTATACTCTGAAATTTTCAGAAAAAAACGCAAGATTCTGGCCCACTTTTTTAGGTCCCTGAATTCCACTTTTAAAATCTTTCTCAAGTTTTTAACTTACCGCTTGCAACGGAATCGGTTCTTTCAACAATTTGAATTTCTTCGTTTCCAATTTTGCCACAAACCGATCCGTCACCACGAGCACTCTCAACGAGCTTTTGTTGAATTTGTTGAACTTCTGAATATACGTGGAAAATAGCACTTTTCCAAATGGATGGCTCTGTCTCAGCGTCTGAATTCCATCCTGATACGTGGATACCGAAGTGGGAAGGTCCAGCTCCTCCTGTTGGGATAGATAGTCTCCTCGCCACATTCTCGGATACCCCCAATTGTCTTTTTTGTTATGGAAGACTTCGAAAGCGGCGATTTTCTGTGGGAGACTGGCTCGAAGGTGTGGAGGGATTCTGGAGAGAATCGTGGCGGCTCGCCAGCGTTGGTGCATTACTCGGAGACGGGACACAAATTGAGCAAGGACGAGCGGGGGAGCTGGCCATCGGACAGACTTTCCGAGATCTCTCATTCGACGCACGTCTCTGGAAAAAAGCTATTTTTTAGTGGGAAACGTCCTTCCTGGTCCTGGGTCCTAAGCTTTTTACAAAAAAAAAAGTTGTCAACTACAAAAATGTAGTTCTAGTTTTGTTTAGTATACTCTGAAGTTAATAAAACGCTTCGACAAATTCTAAGTCCTCTTGTAGGTGGTCAAAATCTCCAAGGTCCCTTTTGCGCCCCCCCCCCCCCCCCATCAAAGGCTGTCGGAAAGAGGGGCGCGGCCTTGCTCTCATCCCAAACTCAGTACCTGAACGCATTGATCAACTGCCATATGTACGATTTCAGCTTGTATCGGCTGTATGCTCCAATGATCTTTCTAACAGCCACCATTCGTCGATACCGCTCACGTGCTTGAACTCCACGGACCATCTGAAAATGACAGGGGTACTTGAAAACTACTTGAGGGGATTGGAGGAAAACTAAAAATGCAATTAACAGAATTAGAATTCTTGGTAATGCATTACATTTTGCAGAATAACTGAAATATATTTTTACAAAAAAAAGCGGTGTCACTTCCAGAGGATCAGAGGGCTCACTATC